CATCATCATCATCATCATCATCATCATCATCATCATCATCATCATCATCATCATCATCACCGTCATCATCAGCATCACCATCAGCACCAGCATCAGCATCAGCATCAGCATCATCATCATCATCATCAGCATCAGCATCAGCATCATAAGCATCATCACCATCATCATCATCAGCATCACCATCATCATCAGCATCATCATCATCATCAGCATCATTATCATCATCATCATCATCATCAGCATCAGCATCAGGATCAGCATCATCACCATCATCAGCATCATCATCATCAGCATCATCATCATCATCATCATCATCATCATCATCACCAGAATCAGCATCAGCATCATCATCATCAGCATCATCATCATCAGCATCAGCATAAGCATCAGCATCATCATCATCATCATCACCATCATCATCATCATCACCAGAATCAGCATCAGCATCATCATCATCATCATCATCAGCATCATCATCATCAGCATCAGCATAAGCATCAGCATCATCATCATCATCATCAGCATCATCATCATCATCAGCATCATCATCATCATCATCATCAGCATCATCAGCATCATCATCAGCATCAGCATCAGCATCATCATCAGCATCATCATCATCATCATCACCATCATCATCATCATCATCATCATCATCATCAGCATCAGCATCAGCATCATCAGCATCAGCATCATCATCATCATCATCATCATCATCTTAGCATGTAACCATGGGATAATTATTCTGGGATACACATGGAATTACAATTGGGCTCAGTACTAATATGGGATTTACTTGGGAGATCTAACCAACTTAACCAGAAACCGTTTTCATGTGCACCAGCGAATTAAGATGGGATTTAATGGGATATTATGGGACCAATCTTGTACCAATAATGATAGTGTTTAATGTTTCTTGATTTAACCAGTAAACATGAGAACATACATGATCGGATAGAACCAACGACATGCAATTTGGGTTTCTGAAAAATTAAGAATACTACACAATGGCAATTTTAGGGGTGGCAACGATGATAAATCATGGGATTTAGGGGTACCCGACGAAACGGGGAGTTAATATGATTACACCAACGGGATTCTGCTAAATCAATAGATTGAGCGGAAAAAATACAAGACATGCGAATTGTGATCCCTTCCCCCAAAAAAATCTGCTTGGTGGACAAATGGTGTAGCTAGGATTATTGTACCCTCTAGTAATTGGACATAGCTATTGGAAATGGCCGATTAATAGATGATTTACCTGGTAAAAGTGGTGATTTTCCAGAGCTAAGTTAAATTACCAGAGGGCACTGTCCCATTCATACCATTCTTCAAAGAAACCACAATGAACACACGCCCTTTCTTTACGGCAAAACAGATTGCAATCTCGTCTCCTTGAAGGTACCCGCTTGCAAACCTATTTATGATTCCGTAGGATGAACCAGATGAATTTCCATCAGTTTATCTCCGTATTTCCACCATATGTCCTATCTTTTCGATCATTTCCCCCTCCAAAACGACTGGTGGTTGGTTCACTTCTTCACTCAGCTGGTATGATCAAGTATATCCCCAAATAAATATGTCATATCCTCATTATGCCACCATTCTACTACCTGTTTTTCTTGGTGAGCGTCCCGTCTCGTTTTGCGGCCGCCAGGTCCCTACCTGATCCATGACGAAGCCTCCACGCCCTCCGATGTCCTCCTGCAGGCGAAAGCCGAGGCCGGCGGGCCGGCGTCGTGGAGGATCATCAATGATGATCACAATCTGGTTGGTGGTTATATCATCTTAGATCTATGGTTTTATATTGGTATATCATAATCTGGTTGGTGCTTTGGAACATGAATTTTATTTTTATATATTGGGAAGAATCATCATCCCAAGTGACGAATTCCATCATTTTTCAGAGGGGCAGGTCAATCACCAACCAGTAATAATATTTGGATTATTATCATCATCTTATATAATATCTGGATTATAATTATTGTCATAATATATTGGGATTACGCTACCCTTCATATATAGGAAATGATCATCATCCATTAGGATCTCCCAAGTTAGTCGACTCGTGGGGCCAAAATCTGTCAAAACCCTGGGTGAAAGATACACAAAGACGTGGAAAAAACCATGGTTTCCCGTGGAAAGTCTAGAACTGGTGGGTTTTTCAGATCTATGTTAGTTTACAGTTTACAGGAAGGTGCACCAATCCGTTTTCGAACCCTGACTTCGACTTTGGAAAGACCACCCGGTTGTGGAAGAATCCGTCAAGATTCCAGCTGGCTTTCTCCAACGTGGCCTTCGCCAACATATAGCAACTTCAAGTGGGAAATGGAGGTTTCCTAAAACAGGGCTACTCCCAAATCATCCATTTTAATAGGGTGTTCTATCAAAAAAACCATCCAGCTATTTGGGGTGCCCCCATGACTATGGAAACCACCCAAATGGGTTTGATGATGTTTGATCAACATCTCCAGAGGCACGGCGCATGCGCTCCACCATATCGCTGTCCAAAGCAAGTCTTCCGGGGAAAGCCTTGTCCAGAGGAGGACCGATGATCAGCTGGGAGTTTTTTTTCCCCACCTGCCAGGTGAGGGTTGTTAGATTTTATGTCAGTTGCCTGCTCCTCTCCTCCTCTCCTCTCCTCCTCCTCCTGCTCAACCGCGACCCTCGACGCACAGTGTTCTCTGTCGGACCTCAACCACGACCATCCACGCCCAGTGTTCCCTGCCGGACCTCAACCACGACCAGCCACGCCCAGTGTTCCCTGCCGGACCTCAACCACGACCAGCCACGCCCAGTGTTCCCTGCCGGACCTCAATGTAAGGAAGATATGGGACAAATAATGTGCAGAGAAAGTGTAGAAAGAATGTCAGAAGATATGCCATATAGAATGCCATATGAATGCCAGAAGATATGTCCGAATTTGCCAGAAGCTATGCCAGATGATGCCAGATAGATGCCAGAAGATATGTCAATCGAATGCCAGAAGATATGCCAGATAGAATGCATCAGAATTTTGGCCAGATAGAATGCCAAGATGCAGAAGATATCAGAAGATATGCAGAAGATATGTGAGAATAAATGCCAGAAGATATCCAGATAGAAGCCATGAAGATTTTGTCCAGATAAATGCAGAAGATATGGGCCAAGAGATATGCCAGAAGATTTCCAAGAGAAGATATTGTCAGATTAGAATGCCAAAGATATGCCGATAGAATGCCATCAGAATGCTCAGAATATATTGGGGGCCGAAGATGTGCCAGATAGAATGCCAGATAGAATGCCAGCAGATATGTCAGAATATATGCCAGAAGATATGCCAGATAGAATGCCGGATAGAATGCCAGAAGATATGTCAGATAGAATGCCAGAAGATATGCCAGATAGAATGCATCAGATTTGCCAGGTAGAAAATGCCACCTATAATGCCAGAAGATTCCGATAGAATGCCCCCAAAATGAAATGGCCAGATAGAATGCCAAATAGAATGCCAGAAATTTTGCCAGTAAGAAATCTATAAAATGTCATGTTGGGGATCACACGAAGTAAAGTTTTTTTTTAACAAGATAGCGTTCATTTGATAACTTGTGCTTGGGTTATGTAACTTGAATAAACCAAAAGTAAACCAACTTTGCAATAAATTAACTGGGAGTTGGTGAACACAACTTCAATAACTAGGGTTTATGATACTTATAGCTACAGTTCATGGGGTCCATTTGTTTATAAACCAACTTATATCTGGCTGACCCACATTGTGGGAGTTTTTTTTTTTCCCCCGAACGGTGAAGCTCTGGAAAATCTGTGTGGCCTTGGCCCATGGAGGTCTAGTTCACTGGGAAAAACATGGAATAGGCCATGTGCATCCATTTTCCAAAGAGTATAAACCTAATGATAACCCGAGACTAAGCCACTTGCTAGGGTATCACAAGATACCATCTCTGCATATTTGTTTTGAATGATAGGAGAAAAAAAAGGCGGCGGACTATTCCCATTGATGATGAAATTCAGGAAAATAGTTAGCTTAACTTAAGCCCCTGTAATCATCAACCAACTGGGGCTGTTTGAACTTTTGGGAATATGATGGGATACAGATGTCACCATCCTTTCTTTGGCACTTTGGGGTTTCCCAGACTTCAGTTGGATACACGATAGCTCTGAGGTGAGTCTTTGGGATGTTTTTTGAGGAAACCACAACATGGAGAGATGCCAAATGGCAATAGAAGCAACAGAAACAGAGGGATAAAATGGTATAAATCTGAAACATGGGGGAATAGCATGGGGTAAAGCTTGCCTGTTCTGCGGACTTTGAACTGGATGTTGAATTGGGATTCTACGCGAAACACCACGGGCTTCGTTGCGCGGACCCTCCAAGATAGCTTCCTTGGCTGGTAAAGAATCCAAAGAAGCTCGGTGCAACTACACCCCTCTGAAATTGAACATGGATCCCCAATTGCTTGTTTCAGAAGATACTTTTCTATTGGACACTGTATTGATATGGTCACATACTAGTAATCGGGATTCCATAGCATGATTCAGGGATGCAAGGATAAGATCTGGCAGCACATATCCTAAGCCTATCATCTCTACGATGACACAAGACTCAGATCTTTGGAAAGGGAATCGTGGGAAGTTGTTCCCCTAAATCAACCTGCAGCAGGGTTTCGAATGTGTTTCATCCATTGAACGGAAGTCAGTTGGCCATACTCATGGTCTGACTATCGTTTTTTTAATCCATATTCTGCCACCATTTGCTGGTTTGACAATGTTTGATAGAATTGGATGATGGGGAAATCCCCTATATTTAGTGGTCGAAACCCAATTTCAATGTCAACCGCACCAGAATTGCCCTCAAATCAATCCATTGATTGTTGAACGCCTTTTTGTGCCGCTTAAATCATGTCACAACTCCCCTTGTTTGGATGAATCTTGAATGATCACCCCAAAACATCGGAAGATCATCATTTCGGGCAATATGGTCAGTTTTGGTTGCTGAAACCACCGGTTTTTGCCAGTTTTTGCCAGTCATATCCCTATCTTTGCCGGTGATCTCCCATAAATTTTTCTGAAATGATCACTCCAGGGCCATCTCTTGGATCCACCCACTTCTCCTCGCGGATGCACAACAGCACCTGGGGCGGAAAAATGCTGGGAGATGGGGATTGACCATCGGATTTCATGGGATTCAGTGAATTTTCATGAGATAAGGGGACTCACCCTGGATTTTTGAAGCAGCCAAAATGGTGATTTAATTTGATATAACCAAGGACTTACCAAATGAATGGATCTGGGATGATCTGGGTCTGTTTGAGAATTGCCTCTTATACCTCAAGACTCCTCCCATTAAACTTCAAAACGCCATCAATTTCTGGTGAATCTTTCAATCCATACTACATCCTCCAACAACATCCCCAACATCCCTCGATGAGCACCTGAATAACCAACTTCAATTCATATTACCCTCTGGTAAACTAACATGACTATGGAAAATCACCATTTCTATACTAGGTAAATCAACCACAAATGGTCATTTTCCATAGTCTTTTGTATGTTTACCAGAGGGCACATCCCCCATTTGGGACCTTCCTGATGCCTGCGCTGAAAGGTAGCACCTCCATTGGAGAACTTCAGGAGTCCGTGGACACGTCGCGGCGTCCCAGACGACCCAACGGAAGTGGCGTCGCGTCCTGTTCCCAATGTGGTGGGTTGATAGAGGCTTCCCCGAACCGAGAGGTAGATAACAAGAGATGGATATAAATGATATATATATATAGATAGATAGATAGATAAATAGTAAGATATCATTTCTATGATTTTTGGTAATGACCATTACAGGATATGACTGATGGTTTCTTCAAATGAGTTTCAATACTCAAATGAGTTTCAATACTCAAATGGTCTAATGATGTCGAATGAGGGTACACCCATTTTAGGAAACCTCCAAATACACCAACCTGGCCCCGATTTAATTTTGTTCTGCAAAGACAAAAGTTGGTTTCAATCTCCTCTAGGGTATTACACTACCTAGCCAATGATTTTGTCCAATTTAGCACATTGTGTGGTGCCAACTCTTTGATTTTCATCAGGCTGTGATGATCTAAACCTTTTGGGCGTTCGGCAGCCCACTCGCTCAGGGTGCAGACATTGGTGAGCCCATTCAGCTCTGTCGATGATGACAGTGAACTACTTCTTGAGTTGGGGCGCCCGGTTTTGACAGGATTACCAGGTTAAAAAAGTGGGGGATTACTTTCAAGTAGTCAAACATAGCAATGGAAATCAATGGAAAATACATCATTTTGTTCGATGATTTTTCCATTGAAGCCTCTATTTAGAAGGGACTTTCCATTGCCACGTTTGATTGCCAGAGGGTGAGTACTGAGCCTATGGTATTCCAAAATGCATTTTCTTTTTGCTGGCAGCCCTTGGCGTTGCATATTTCTGTAGTTGGCGTTGCGTACTTTCGTCAAACCGTGGGATTTTCAGTGCTCCTCTGCCATATTTTTGCGAGGCATTCAGAGATGATTTTGCAGCACTGGAAAAAGGAGGTCCCAGGGGTCCCAGGTATGGAGAGCCATGGTGAGCCATGGAACATGGAGAGATGAACCCGGACTGAATAAATCAAGATCGCCCTGTACATTCGCGTGGGAAAGCACTGATTTTATCATATTTATTCCCATCTGGATATGTCACTTTGGCTGAAGCTCAGATATTTTGAGAAGTGTATCCAAGTGCAGTTTAGAGGTATCAAATGGGGTGAACTGGAATGAAGGATCCGAGAAAATGTTTGATTCATTTCCTCTTTTCACTTTGCGTATGCCCAGAAATCTCGGTCAACATCCACCAGAGGGGTCTCAGCTTTCTCTGCCATGGTGCTCCAGCAAAACGTACATGATTTCAACGGAGTGCACTTTCAATGGCAAGTTTTACCTTAGCCCATCGTTTCCAGTGATCGAGATTCACTTTGAGATCGGAACTGGCTCCCTGAATTAGATGTGGAATGCAAACATGTGCTGCATCCACCCACCAGATCATTTTTTTGGGCCCAAGTTTTTTCTGCTGGGATACTCCAAGCTACACGACTTCCTGCCATTGTTGATCGCCCAAAAATCTCGCCCTTTGCACCGAAACAGCCAGCCAGGGCCAACCCAAGTTGTGGCTTGTGGCTTTGCAGATGAAGAATGGGGCAGGGAGGTGTTGTTTATAACAATCTATGAAACTTATGAATATCTTTAGGGGTTTTACATGTTTAGTAACATGCGTGTGTATTGATACATGATGACATATATGAATGTGGAGAGATAGACGCACAAAGAGACGTAAAAGTCATAGCAAGGAGGACCTCACCCCTGAGCAGTGACATGTAGCCGCCTGGGGTTGGCGGCTTGGGCCCCCTATGTGGCAAGTGAATCATGATATGGGTGTGGGTCAAAATCTAACCACCAATTTCAGTTGTTCAGCAGACTAGCCCATTTCTGGGTATCCCATAGCAAGCTTGAAAGAGCTGGACTGGCATCATGGCCAGTCTTGATGATATGGAAAACATGGAAGTAGCATGAAGTAGCTCAGGCTGTGGGTTGCAAACATGCTGTTTTTGTCTGGCAAGTGGGTGGTAGTAATGCACATACCCAGGGGTGTCACTGATTCTGGTGTTGTCAACAACAGTGCTCCCCCGTCATGTCAAGGCCCGACAGTGCACTGTTGCGTTTTTCAGCAAAGTGCCGGGCACAAGGTAGCACCAGCCCAACACAGGAGATTTAGTTGGATAAATGTTCGAACCTCTCCCAATTCAATACATCATCGCCAATTATACCAGAAAGGGGTGAGAAACCCCCCCCCCAAATGGGAGGTTTATTATTGGACACAGTAGCAATACGTATTTCCCAGGGTTCTCGATGGACTGAGGTGGACAAGATCCTTGGTAGCCCGAAGAGTGATGCTTCCCTGACCTTTGATGCAGGTCGCTGGGCACAGTCCAGACTGGGATGATCCAGTGATCTGAGGATTCAGCATCCTCTGGTTGGGATAGAAAAACCTTCATCAATGGGAGATCTTCAGGATCCGATTTAATAATGGAGGTACGTTAGTACCATACCATAGTACCATATTGTTTCGCCCAAAATTTGTGGGGATATTCCCCTGAAATTTAGGCCTAACAAAGAGGCCGTATGGCGGGTACCTCCAATAAATCGGATCCTGAAATTCCCATGAAACTTCATAGATGTTGTGGACTACGGCGACTACGGTCACTTCAAGGCTCTGCTGGTAGTTCTGGGTGAGACAAACCCATCTCCATCATTGGTTACCCTTTGGTAAACTAACATAGCTATTGAAAATGGTCATTTATAGTTGATTTACCCATAAAAAATGGTGATTTTCCACAGTTTTTTGTATGTTTACCAGGCCGGGTACATTCCTTTTTTTCGACGATAAAATCTACAGTTGGTGGTGTCTAAATCCGCTCGTTACAGATGGATGGCCCATTTCGAGACCAACCCGCGTGTGTTCTCCACCATAAGAACCATGACCCATGTTGGTTGAAGATATAAACGCAGCATGCACAGCTAAACCATGCTAAACCTATATAGCCTCTGGTAAACATACAAAAAACTATGGAACATAAGCATTTTCAATGGGTAAATCCACTATTTCGACTGGGTCATTTTCAATAGCTATGTTTGACATAACCAGAGGGTAGCTGTATTCTTTTGGTCCACTGCTCCATGCTGAAATCTCTCTGAGAGGTGTGGATCACACTCTGACCTCTGCGTCGATGGTGCTTCGCTAACGGGGAAGGGACGGTGGGGGGATTGGTGGTTCAAACCGAGGAACATGAATGACTTCAGCAACCGAAATGGGTATGTCTGAAAATAGGGTATACCCCCAATTATAGCCATTTAGTAGGGATAATGATCATTAACCATTGGGTGTAGGGGTACACTATTTTCAGACAAACCCAAATGGTGACTTGGAGCAAGAACATGGGCATATGAACCACCCAAAATTTTAGGATTCCACCAAAGAACAGGATGTTCATCACCAGTTGGTAGATATGAACCCCGTCAATGGGGACACTTTTTTCAGGCCCTGAGAAGCATAGATGAGGTCCTCTTCAAGGTGGAGAATGATGCCTATGGCACTGGAGCTCCAAAGCACGAGGAGGAGGAGGAAAAGTGGGAGAACCCGGGAGATCTCCAGCGTTTTGATTGCTGGATGGATTAAAAAAGGCTGGAATCTCACGGATTTTAAGATGATTTAATCAAGAAAAAGTCGGCCTTACATGCGATTTTCGGCCAAGAATGGTTTTAACAATCCCAATTCGACCAATAAAGATGGGGATGTCCATGATATTGTGAGTTTTTAAATTTGTTCCGAGATGGGCTTGAGTCAAAGCCTATGATTTTCGTTTTTATTCCCGTGGGGTGATGAATATCCATAACTGCCAGCTAATTTGGAGTCAACTACAGGATACCAAGGATTTTGGATACATTCTCTGGTTGGTGGTTTGGAACATGCATTTTATTTTTCCATATATTGGGAATAATTGTAGAGCTTCGCACACCGGCGACGCCGGTAGGGGTCGGGGGAGGGAAAGAGAGAGGGGGATGTCATCTGAACTTGCGAACATGACATGCTGAGGGTCGGCGGCCTATCTTGGGGCTATGTTGGCCCAGCTTGGGGCTATGTTGGCCCATCTTGAGGCTATGTTGGCCTATGCCTATGCGCACAAAGTGTTGTAATTTACAGCATTTTGCGCTTTGAGATGGCAAGAACCCGTGTAAACACAACAGTTTTAGTCCCCGAAAGTGGCTAAAACATTCTTATTTACAGAGTTTCGTTCACATCACGATCTTCGATTTTTTGAAAAACGTGCAAATACCAGCGTTTGTTGCATGCAGCAAGACAAAAAATCGGTTCAAAAAGTGCAAAAAATGCTGTAATTTACAGGGGAGTGGCCCCGTCACAAGCAAAAAACTGCGTAAATACCAGCGTTTCGGCGTCCAAAAGTTGCCAAAACACCGCTATTTACAGTGTTTCGTGCCTTCCACGTTTGCTTGAAATTGCAGAAACATTGTAAATACCAGCATTTTTTGCGATCACCCCGCCAAAAATGCTGTAATTTACAGTGTTTTTTTCCTTGGCTTTCAAAAACACTGGTATTTGCAGTGTTTTGTGCATCTCGGGTCCAAAAAGTATTGGTATTTACAGCATTTTCTGCGTTTGTGCATGGCTCCCGCCAACGACGTTAAAACGCAAAAATGTTGTAATTTACAGCATTTTGTGACTTCCGAAAAGCGAAAAATCGCCCGAAAAATGTGTCAAAACGGCATTTTTTTTCCGATTTTAGGACCTCCAAAACGCATCTTCAAATTTTACCATCTTTTTTCCCACCCCGAACCCCCAAAAACGTGAAAACCCCAGCAGGCTGAAGGATTTTCGGGGAGGGTCGGCAGAGGGTCGGCGGCAGGGGCGCGCCCCCGGGTAGCTAAAGCTATGCTTAGCCACCACCACCGGACGGCATCGCCGGATTTAAGGGCTCCCGCCACTGCCGCCGACCCCGGAAAAAAAAACACCAGGATGAGGCTAAGCAGCGAGATGCAGCGAGGGCCCACGCGCAGAAGGAAAGCCCCAGAAACTACCGGACAAGCCCCCGACAGATGGCCAAAGTCGTCCGGAAAGCTGCCAAGACCGCCGGCAAGGGCGCTGCGGAGCGTTTGAAGGCAGGCAGTAGCCTAACGTCGCTTTCTGAAGCCACTAGAAAACTAGATGGCCAAAGTCGTCCGGAAAGCTGCCAAAAGCGCCGGCAAGGGCGCTGCGGAGCGTTTGAAGGTAGGCTACTGCCTAACGTCGCTTCCTGAAGCCACCAGAAAACTACTGGACAAGCCCCCGACAGATGGCCTAAGTCGTCCGGAAAGCTGCCAAAAGCGCCGGCAAGGGCGCTGCGGAGGGTTTCAAGGCAGGCTACTGCCGAACGTCGCTTTCTGAAGCCACTAGAAAACTAGTGGACAAGCCCCCAAAGGCGCTGCGGAGGGTTTGAAGCCAGGCTACTGCCTAACGTCGCTTTCCGAAGCCGCTAGAAAACTACTGGACAAGCCCCCAAAGGCGCTGCGGAGGGTTTAAAGCCAGGCTACTGCCTAACCTCGCTTTCTGAAGCCACTAGAAAACTAGTGGACAAGCCCCCAAAGGCGCTGCGGAGGGTTTGAAGCCAGGCTACTGCCTAACGTCGCTTTCCGAAGCCGCTAGAAAACTACTGGACAAGCCGCCAAAGGCGCTGCGGAGGGTTTGAAGCCAGGCTACTGCCTAACGTCGCTTTCTGAAGCCACTAGAAAACTACTGGACAAGCCCCCAAAGGCGCTGCGGAGGGTTTGAAGCCAGGCTACTGCCTAACGTCGCTTTCTGAAGCCACTAGAAAACTACTGGACAAGCCCCCGACAGATTGCCACAGACGTCCGGAAAGTTGCCAAAAGCGCCGGCAAGGGCGCTGCGGAGCGTTTGAAGGCAGGCTACTGCCTAACGTCGCTTTCTGAAGCCACTAGAAAACTACTGGACAAGCCCCCAAAGGCGCTGCGGAGGGTTTGAAGCCAGGCTACTGCCTAACGTCGCTTTCTGAAGCCACTAGAAAACTACTGGACAAGCCCCCGACAGATTGCCACAGACGTCCGGAAAGTTGCCAAAAGCGCCGGCAAGGGCGCTGCGGAGCATTTGAAGGCAGGCTACTGCCTAACGTCGCTTTCTGAAGCCGCTATAGAAAACTAGCGGACAAGCCCCCAAAGGCGCTGCGGAGGGTTTGAAGGCAGGCTACTGCCTAACGTCGCTTTCTGAAGCCACTAGAAAACTAGTGGAAAAGCCCCCAAAGGCGCTGCGGAGGGTTTGAAGCCAGGCTACTGCTTAACGTCGCTTTCTGAAGCCACTAGAAAACTACAGGACAAGCCTCCGACAGATGGCCACAGACGTCCGGAAAGTTGCCAAAAGCGCCGGCAAGGGCGCTGCGGAGCGTTTGAAGGAGGCTACTGCCTAACGTCGCTTTCTGAAGCCACTAGAAAACTAGCGGACAAGCCCCCAAAGGCGCTGCGGAGGGTTTGAAGCCAGGCTACTGCTTAACGTCGCTTTCTGAAGCCACAAGAGAACTACTGGTACTGGAGAAGCCCCCGACAGATGGCCAAAGTCGTGCGGAAAGCTGCCAAAAGCGCTGCGGAAAGTTTGAAGCCAGGCTACTGCCTAACGTCGCTTTCTGAAGCCACCAGAACACTACTGGACAAGCCCCCGACAGATGGCCAAAGTCGTCCAGAAAGCTGCCAAAATTTGAAGGCAGGCTACTGCCTAACGTCGCTTTCTGAAGCCACTAGTAAACTAGGGGACAAGCCCCCAAAGGCGCTGCGGAGGGTTTGAAGCCAGGCTACTGCCTAACGTCGCTTTCTGAAGCCACCAGAAAACTACTGGACAAGCCCCCGACAGATGGCCAAAGTCGTCCGGAAAGCTGCCAAAAGCGCCGGCAAGGGCGTTGCGGAGCGTTTCAAGGCAGGCTACTGCCCAGCTGAAGCCACTAGAAAACTAGTGGACAAGCCCCCAAAGGCGCTGCGGAGGGTTTGAAGCCAGGCTACTGCCTAACGTCGCTTTCTGAAGCCACTAGAAAACTACTGGACAAGCCCCCGACACATGGCCACAGACGTCCGGAAAGTTGCCAAAAGCGCCGGCAAGGGCGCTGCGGAGCGTTTGAAGGCAGGCTACTGCCTAACGTCGCTTTCTGAAGCCACTAGAAAAGTTCTGGGCCAGTGTCAAGCCAAGCGGCTGCCTAACGTTGCTTCGTGCTTAACGCCACTTTTCCTCGGGCGCGCTCCCCCTGCAGATGGCTGGGGTCGGCGGATAATAATAACCCCAACTGACTTTCATATTTTTCAGAGGGGTTGAAACCACCAAGTAGTTCTTATACAGCTCCGTTTTTGTTCCCTTCTATCGTCATGCTTCGTGCTGATCTCATGCTTTTATTGCTTAATCTCTGAAGTTTGTCGGCTAAATCTCATGTTGAACTTGTTAAATCCACATTTTGAAGTCCTTGAATCTCCACATTCTGCTGGTCATTTGTCCATATTTTCTTGGTAACATCCAAATTTGTATGCGATAAATATCGATAAATCATCACATTATTACTTTCATTTGTGTGTTTAGTTGTTCCATAAACATACCCTCTGGTAATTTAACATAGCTATTGAAACTGGCCAAATTTATAGTGGATTTTCCCATAAAAAGCATGGTGATTTTCCATCGTTTTTTGTATGTTTACCAGGCCGGGTAGATCAAGTCGCTGAGATCATCCAAGACACTCCCGCAGAGCACCCCGTGCCGCTGAGTCGAGGTTCACCGTGGGGGATGCCGTTCAGCTGATCGCTGGGGGCACGGTCATCGGTGCTGTTGCGGAGGTGCCAAGGGTCCAAAGTTCGTATCCAAAGTTAATCCCATCCCCCTAATATTACGTAAACTGGTTGGTGGTTTCAAACATTTCTTATTTTCCATAATATGTGGGATAATCCTTCCCAACTGACGAACTCATATTTTTCAAGATGGTTAAAACCACCAACCAGTAAATTATGGTCACCATGGTCCCAATGATGTGGGATAATACAATATATAATACATGAGTTTATGGGACTTAATAGATCTAAGTTCTAATATTCAACACCTCCGAAAAATGGTCCCAACTATGTGGAATTTCCGGGCCCAAAAAAAAGCATGGTTTCTATGGGGGTGTTTAATATTAAGGAGATGGGAGTATTGCGGAAATAAAGCTACATGGGGGTTTCCACAAATGGGCTATCCCCATGGCTGGATGGTTTACAATGGAAAATCCTACTGAAATGGATGATATTTAGGGGGTTACCCCCACTGAAACCGCCATATAATGTTGTTGTGGATGAAATATGATGTTTATTGGACATGAATTTAGTGGTAAACCCTAGGTTTTAGACCCAAAAAACCTACCTTTTTTAAGCTTTTGTTGTTTTCGCCGCAACCATTTATGGTAATATTGGGGATGGTTTGCATTTGGGTTTCACTGGAAGTAACTATGGTGATACCTCAATGACCTGAGAAACGCCCAGAAAATACTCTGGAAACTAATCTTCATGAACTGAAATGGGTATGGATCAATACCTATTAATACCATTTTTAGTGGGATGAACATCCATTTACCAGCTATTTTGGGGTTCACTAGGTACCAGGGTTTTGACCCATCCCCAAATGCTTGGATTCAGAAATTGGTGTGATTCAGAAACGCAATCATGTAACCAAAGGCATCATCCGATCTGAACTTAACAGTCATTTGAACAACAACAATTGGTTGCTATGGGATTGAACACGCCACCAAATTCCAAATTTCAGACTGCATGTCGAACTACAACAAATGCTGATACCGATGTCATATTCATCAAAATGATCAACCCTAAAATTCTAGAATTCCAAATCTGACCGAGATTGATGGGCCATTTCGCCATCAAACCTCATCCAGCCCCACATACCCAGTATTGTTAGGATCCCATCAGATTTCGCAGGACATGCTTCGAAAGCTGAAGAACACCGGCCCCCGGTCCGGTCTGTCCCGGACTGATTTGGGAACAGCGCAGCAGAAGTTGGTTGATTTGATGTTGATTTGGAGAGCTTTTGCAATGTTTACCACATCCAAAGCTTGATTTATGTGTTGGTTCGTTGTATTTTGGCCAGCACTGAATTACATAAACTCTGATGGTTCGGACGCTGGTTCCACAGCTACCTTCCCATCTCAATTCCAATCGAGCAATGTTCGGAACCCCTGTTGATTGATGACTTTTTCAATGGTTGTACAACAACATACAACAACAACCAAGCAAAATTGGGGATGATCATCATCCATGAGCTGGGAATCCGGTACCAGGAGCTATATTGAGACCTGCGAGCGTTTCGGCAAGCTGGCTGACAAGGCGCGAGCGTGTCCTCATTTTGCTCGGGTGAGTCCCTATTTCGGAGGTGATTTCATCTCTTGATTGGTTGTCACTTGTCCTAATGTTTTGCGTCCTAAAGTCCCTAAAGTCCAATTGGGAAAATCTCTCTTTTGAGTCTTGCAGTCCGAAAAATCCATCATTCTTTCATTTTTCCCTTTTGAGTCTCGAAGTCCTTGGACAAATGATTCTGACAGATCTTCATCGTTTCTCCGGATACCTTCCCTTGACGAAATTCTCAGTCAGCACCGAAAAATCGCTGCCAGGTGAAGGAAGTGTTCGAACAAATGGAGGCCGCGATTCTGTGCCCTCCGAAAACTGCCACGGCAAAAGGGGCGATGACAATTTGACCACCCAAATAGCTTTGTCTCCAAATACCCAAAAACATGGTCATTACATGGTCATTTTGAGGTATCCCCTGCAGGATGGTGCCCCCCAGCTATAAGATGTTATAAGTTGGTTGAGATTCACCCCATGAAAACTAGTTCGTTATATCTGCCATAAACCATAGTGAAATGGGAGTTATGTGAACCCCAACTTATCTAACGAACTGGGGCACCACCTTGTATGGGACACAGATATATCATCTACAAATAGGGGCCCAAAAAACCTCGGGGATGTTCACCAGCAAAGTTTCGCCTACAGGAGATCGCCAAGTTCGAGGTGGGCTGTGACGGCTGTGACGTGCACCAAGCTGATGATGCTGGATGATTGCGCATATTCAGAAAGAGCAGTCCAATCTTATTCAGATAATGGACTCAATGGACACTTACTTTTCTATCTTATTTTTAGAGATATAGTGGAAAACGATGGAAAATGATGGTTTGGGGAAAAAAGCAAGCCGCACAAAGACACCACTAACCAATGAACATCAAGTTACTGTATACCCAACAAGAAAGGAACTGTGGTACACGCGACAGTACTGGGAATATCATGTTGGTCACTGTTCGGAGCGATGCATTTATTGCTGAGTGGTACAGTGGATGGTTGCAAAATCCTTCACCAGTTGATAGGTGGCTTATCTCATTATTCGTAGGGTTTCAACCATCCTTTTGGTGGTGCAGGATTTCTTCCATCCACAGTATGTTTGTTGCATGTTCATGCCTTTTGGTTGACAATTATTTTTTTTGGGTAGACAACCCAACAGCAACCCGCATTTCGGACAACCATCCCTCTGAGTAGCTGGTGAGATACTTGGTTTAAAGCGAGTATTTGATGTGAACATCCAAGTTGTGGCAACTTATCAACCATTGTTCTGTTTTTTTTTGAATTGAGATTCCAAATTTCTGTCGGTCCATTCCACAATCGCAACGGATTTGGTGCCTTCAGGCAAGTTTCAACGGGTTTCCCAGTTGTGAGATGAGTCACATATATATATATACACATAATTATATATATTATATATATATGTAGAGGTATCAATGTATAATATATATATACATACCCTTTTGTTATTTGAGGTAGCTATGGAAGCCATGGCCCATAGACAGAAATAGATGATAGAAATGATGATTTACCTATTAAAAATGATGATTTACAATAGCTACGTTGAATAACCAGAGGGTATATATATATATATATAGAGTCGTCCTGGAGTAGATAGAATATGGGCATTTCAAACACGCCATTGACATGGAATATCTTAAACAACCACCTGTCGGGCCCGCAGGTAGAGAAGGCAAACCTGCGAGTGTTTGGAAGCCCGTTGGGAGGTCGTAAATCCCAAGAAGATTTCACGATAGAAGCTATACAGAAGTTATCAAAAACCATCATGAACATAACGTTGGCAATATATAGAACCATCACTATGAAAACCATCATTAGTTATCATATCAATGATTTGATTTGATCGGATTTGGTTTGACGGTTTCCTCATGTTTCCTCGCTGCAGAGACATTTCCACAGAATTGGAGATTCAAGAGCCATCTTCTTGCTTGCGGGTGGTTAAAACAGGTGTTTTCATGTCGATCCGTTTGGGGAAAGATGAGCCGCTCGCTGACTTTCTATGTCCGCATCGCGATTTGGGGGATCAATGAAAAGATACTTAAAAAGTATTTTATCGACCACATGAATTTTTAATGGCATTTCTGGGGACGAAACCAAGAACATCTGGACTTTACAGGCCATGACATAAGCCTTGAAAAGACTCTGAGATACTGGTAGTTATGACACCTGGTGTCATGTCGAGAATCCCCGAAAATGAAACGATGATTCTGTCATGAAGATCTCGGCGATTTCCTAGGGTTGGATTCCCAGAGGAATCTCCATGGATTTCCTTCACCAAACTCCTCATTTTTTTAAAAGTTAAGTCCAAACAAAAAGTCCTGGTTATCCATGTTCTTCATGTTTAAATCCATATCATTATCCATATCATATCCATATCATTCCTGGTTAAATCCCAATTTTTACCGGCCTTTGAGGAAGTTGCGTGCGGGCGATGTGAATCCTGCCGCCATGGCGACAGCGCTTGGGAGGTGCAGCAGCCGTTTCCATATTGATGACGGTGAATCTGTATCTATCCGTGCAATATATATATACATATACAAACAACACATGGTGTGTGTACATTATACATATATATATATATATAGATTATATAGAATCATGTTAACATGCCAACGGTCAGGTAGGTCTGGGGCAGGTTGATAACTCTTAAGAGATGTTCATTTATTGATCTTTCCTTTTTATCTTTTATCATTTTCACTCATGTATTCATGGATTGTGTGATCACTGAGGATCAGTTGAACGTTCGACTTTTCGTACGCCATTTTGGCGCGAAGTGAAAGGAAGCTCAGAGATCCCACCCCAGGCTGAAAATTTGTTCTGCCCGTAGATTGAGGGCCTGGGGGTTTGAAGTGATCGTCTGACCCGCTTTTGTTCAATGCCTAATTTTCCTCCTGTGTTCTCTGCTGCGCCGTTATCCAAGCAGAGGGCCATGGCAGCATCTCGTGCGGCTGAGTTCTTGCGGCCAGAGGATAGTGCTAGCAATTTGGGCTCTACCACATCATGGACTATGATGGGTGACGGCTCGGTGCCAGATGTGGGCCAGCCTGCTCAGGCACCAAAAGCGCCACCTCCCAGCTTAGTTCAGGGTAGCCAGGCACAAGGGTGGACAGCTGGTCAACCAGCATCGACCAGTTCAGGGACACCACCACCAGCTGATTTTAGCGCTTGGGGTGAAGTGGATCCACCTAGAGCTGAACCTAGCGCTCCTCCTGCTCAACCAGCTTATGCAGATGCTCCAGCCAATCAAGCTGCTCGCCAAGTTCTTGGATCAGCACAACAGCAGGCCAAGAGGTTGGCTGCTCAGAAAGCTCAGGCCAAGCGCAAAGGCCAGAAAGGGATCAAGTGGGGCCAGATGTCTGGGGCCAACTCCCAGAATTTTCAGCTCCCTCCATTCATCCAACAGCTTGGTGCTCAAGAAAACGAGCGATCGGTCTTGGTGGTGGACAGCCGTGACAAACGGATCCAGTCGCCGTTCCAAGGCTGGCTGTTAGATGAGATCCTGCTGAATGCCCAGTGCGGGATCAACGTGCTGTCTGATGGGAAGCTGATCAGATCCCCAAATTCTGGATACCATATGAACGTGTTCTACGTCAGGACGCTTGACGGCTTCAAGTTCATCCTGGTCGGCTGCATGACATCATACGGCACAGTTCCATGCGAAAAGTGGGATGCTCCTACTGGCGCCGTTATGGCTCATCCGGCTTTTCAGCCGTTCCGTTGGCCTATGATGACCAACGAGAGTGCGACGTGGGTCGACGTGAAGTTCAAAGTAGAGGGTGAGTTGCTCCTGCACCTCGAGCTCCGAGGGTACCGCTCGGATGAGGATATGACAGTTCAAATGAATTACCTGAACGATGCCTTGATCAGGAACATGAACTCAACACTGTTCATTCCCTCCATGGTGGTCACCATTTTTCAGGGCCGGAGAGTGATCGCAACATCGTTTGAAGTGGGCGGTCGCCTGTATGCCTGCAGTGATGGGGGCGTGGTCGTTGCCATGGACTACCCCTTGTGTCACTTTGAAGTGAGGATCACAGCAACGTCATCGGCAGACTCGATCGGACTTGATGCTGACCGATTGGAGTTCAGGTTTCGCTCTGCAGGTGACTCCGTTGACGTGCGCTGCTCGCAGATTGTGGTGCCATCGACGTGGTTGGTTGTGTCCAGGGTTTCTGGACCGACTCTGATCAAGAATGCCCGCTGGTGCCGCGAAGACTTTGCTCGCATCGAAGGGCCTGATCAGACTATGCAGCTCTCTCAACTTGCAGGGATCCATGCTCATTGGACAGCTGCTGTGGAGGCGGCATTGATCGATGAGACCGGCCCCAGGATCGGCGAAGTGGCAGTCAACACTCACCCTGCCAACTTACATTTGACATGTGAGTCGCCGCTCTTCAGGTCTGAGTTGAAGATCGTGCCGAAGACTGCTTTGGCGCTGCAAGCTCATGATGTTGAACAAGAGCAGAGCACGGCAGTTCTGCCGCCTGTGACAGGGGGGCCGTCGGTGGTGCCCCTGGCCTCGGCTCCGGGCCGTTTGCGCGACCTGGCTGGGTCTTCAAGCCAAGCGCTCACTGTGACACCCAACGCTCAAGTGGGTGTGTCAGTGACAGAGCCTGGTCAGGCGCCGATGTGTGCTGCTCCTGAAGGGGGAACGGTCTTGGTCCAGAGGAGGTCGCTCGAGACACGGAGAGCGGAAGCGATGGCTCCAGCCACTGTGACTCCACAGGCCTTCCTTGATCAAGTTGACACCGCCGTTTCTGGATACCATCATCCGGCAGCGGCCCCAAAGTCATTTGGACCGGCTCCTGTGGTCGAAGAGGTGACTGACTGCTGAAGAGCCTGCTCAGCCCGAAATTTGCTCGTCTAGAAGAGCACAGGAATCCACTTGCGGAGGATCCCGTCCGCCCGTTCAGTTGTGAAAAGCTGGCACATCCGCCTGAACTGTGTATGGGTGTTAGGTGGGGGGCCCTTGTTTTCTTTTGTGGTTTCCCCGCGTTTGGTTGGGTCCCCCCTCCGCGTTGGTTTGGGGCTCCCTCCAATTTGGGTCTTTGGGCCCCCCTTTTTCTGTTTCTTTCACCTTGCCCCATAGCACAGTTCTTTGGTAGGATGCTGCTCGGGCCGTGGGTGGATCCCACAAATTTCTTTGGGTTGTACCCACTTCCAGCTCGGATGAACCGGGGGGGGGTGCAATCGCAACCCGGCTCAGGTATGCACCTTAGCACTGTTGTGGGATCCCAGTGTGATCTGATGCAGAGAGACTGAAGCCACGTTTGTCATATTTGCGGCTGATCAGTCATCTGCTCTAGTCACACTGTATCTCCTTGATTTCATTTAATAGGTCTGAGTTCTGATTTTATTTATTTTGGAGTTTCAGTTGCTAATTTGAGCTCTTTGCATTGTCTCACAACAGGGTCTTGTCTGCATGCCACACGGTGCGGATGATCTTGAGTCGTGAGAAGTGATTTTGAGTGCAGTTTATTGGACGATCGTTTTTGATAAAAATCAAGTGCCGGCTCACCTCACTCAGGCACACGCCTCAGCAGGGTGTGGGGTCGGTTGTGGCAGGGCTCAGCTGAGATTTTCATGAGTGCATGCTGCTCACATGTGATTTGTGTTTGTTCAGCATCACTTTGTTTCTCTATCACGCCCTTCCCGCATGTTCATGCACATGTGACACTTGATTTGAGTCATGCCTTGAGGGGTCGTGGCCTTGAAATTTTCATTCTCTGTGAAACGTCTGTTTTGATGGTTGGTCATACCTTGCAGTACGGAGGGTTCAAGATGGCTCACCACTCAGACAGATGGGCCTCTAAGATTTTGGCCCTGCCTGTGTTTTCTGAGGCCATATTGGCCTCGCAGTACTCGAACCTGGCTTTGATCGCCGCGATGGAGGTGCGGTCAGCGCCAGAGTTTGTGGTCCAAGTTCATGAGTGGGAGGCATCGCTTGATCCAGATGCTCGTGACATTATCCTGGGGAATGGGTTCATGCTTGAGCAGTACTGGAGCTTGGCCAGTGCGATCGAGAAGGCGTATTTTGCCTCCACAGCCAACCAACTAGGGTTTGGGCTGTGCGACCCAGTGACTGTTGCTCTGAGCGCTGAGGCGGCCGAGGCTCGCCGCAAGTTGGCCATGAAGTCGCTCGTCTCTAAGCCTCAACAGCCCCCTAGGAAGCTCTTGAAAAAGGACTCCAATGACTCGTCGGCCACCCCACTGTTGGACCAAGAGAATGCCGCCAAGCTCAAATGGTCCAACAAGTTGGAGGAGATCGGCAAGCGGGCAGGGGTCTTCTCAAAGTTGCTCCAGGACACTTCAAATGGTGAGGGCTTATCAGCAGCAGAGACTGCTCGGCTGCGACAGTTAGTCCTCTCATCTGGTGCTCCTAGGATGATGGCAGCTCATATCTCAGCTTGTGAAAGGTTCGAAGATTGGGCAACGGCAGAAGGCCTTTGCGTGTTCCCGCTGACCCACGACAAGCTGCTCAAGTATGCCTTGGCCCTCGATCAGAAAGAGTGTGGGCCCTCTGTGCTGCCGTCATTTCGCACGTCCGTCAGGTGGGTCACTTCGAAGCTCGCCATCGAGTGTCCTGATCTGGCTCATCCTGCTCTGCTGGCTGTTCAATCGGACATCACCCAGAAAAGGGCCACCACGTTGAAAGAGGCGGTTCCCTTCTCTATCGAGCTCGTGGGCTGCCTTGAGATGTTCGTCTGTGACAAGCTGGAACCAGCGCCTGCTCGCCTTTTCATATGGTGGTGGCTCTGCATGGTCTTTGCGTCGCTGAGGTTCGACGATGCCATGCATGTGAAGCCCATGGAGCTGCTCATGTCCGAGGAGGGCTTGTTCGGCGTGGCGTGGCAGACGAAGGTCGAGCGCCGTCGTCGCGGAACCAAGTTCGTGGTGCCCCACGTTGGCTTCAAAGAGTCGAAGTGGCTTGAAGAGGGCTGGAACTTGTTCAGTTCAGAAGACTTGGAGCGCGACTACTGGATGCGTGAGCTCAACACCAGGGAGGAGTTCAAGAACTCCCCGGCTTCCTACCAGAGGTCTCTTCAGTGGCTCAAGTTCCTGGCCAAGTACGCTCTGAACCAGAAGTTCGAGGGCCCAGAGGTGCGGTTGAAGGAGCTGATCAGCACCCTGTCATCGCTGACAGCTCATTCCGCTCGTGTGACTCTGCTGGACGCAGCTGTTCATGCAGGTCGCTCGACGGAAGAAATTGGCTTGCAGGCCAATTGGAAGAACCCGGGCCCCTTGGTGCTCAAATACACACGGAATCGGACTAGCGTACCGGCTCAGATGGTGCGCCAGCTCGTGAAAGACATGGTCGAGCAGGAACACCCGTTCGAGGCCCCAGCTGACGCAGTCCTCGATGAAGTCGACCTCTGTGCTCTAGACGAGGTGATGTTCTTCGTCAAGACGCAAGGGTCACGAGCGTCCCATGACTATCGCTACCACTGCCTGCAGGTGGATGATGATCAAGTGATGGCATGCGGTCGCATTCGCCTTGAAGATTGCACCGAAGTGGGCTCTACACTGCCGGATGTCTCCGTGCTCTGCAAGCATTGTGCACGAGTTCGGCCAGAGGTGGCGTCCAGGTGCTTCTCAGCTCGTCGAGGTAGCTGACCCGGTCACTGAGGTGAAACTTTGCTGCATTCAGTGCCTGGTTGTTCGGTAGGGTTCTCAATGCTGCAGCATGGATTTCGTGTTTTTTTTTTTAAACTCCGTTTTGATTTCATTTTCTTTAGTTTGGGCTCTGAGCGATCATCAATCCATAACCATGGTCGATCGCACCAACTATGACATTGACAAGACGCCCGAATTGCCGTTGAGACAGATCCTTGGGCGGCAACGGGTGCCCACGGAGCTGTGCAAGCTCGCTGCTGATTCGGGTTTGTTGACTGTTGAGACCTTTGCCATGCTCGGCGACACCATTCATGCGGTGAAGGCTGCTCTGCGCACCATTGTGGCTGATAACAATCGGCTTGGTGCTGACGCTCCAGCGCAAGAGCTTGCCCTGACCAACTTGGCTGCGGTTTGGAAGACATGCTCAACAATGCAGGATCATTTTGCAGCCAGAAGAGCAAAGATGGAGGAGGATCCGTCCAAAGTCCCAGAAATCCCAGGGGAGGATCACGCTGAGTTTCGCGATACGTTTGTCGCTCGACACCCGGACGTCCTCCTCCCTCTTCATCGAGAACCTCACCGTAAGTTCGTTGAGCGGGTTCAGCGCGACTATTTGGTCCATGGCTTTGTGCATTTCTACGAGGTGGGCGAGATCCGCACCCGCAATGAACAGATCGCTCAGAAGTCAGGCATCAGCAAGAATGCTGAAGATCTCCTGAGGGTGGTGATGGTAGATCAACCCACTTCAGCGAGCTCCGAGACGCAGGTCATGGACAAGCTCCACGCCTTTTTCATTACGCTGGAGTATCTCAACATTTGCGAGTTCTCGTTCGCTGCTGGCCCCCTCAAGTATTTGGCAGAGCTCGAGGAATGGCGGCACGAGAACCGTGGTCTTGCTTTGCTTTTGACTGTGGACACGCTCATCCGGAAGAAAGTACATCGTGTCAGCTCTGACCAGAGGAAGAAGTTCACCACTTTCTCGGCGGCATTGCTCGAGGTGCTCACCCACCACAAGCAGCTCTGGAATGATGCCAGGTCCAGCGCGGAGCTCGACAAGTTCAAGCAGGCGCTCAACACCGGTGCTCCGAGCACCCCAGTGCGCAAGCGCTCGAGGTCCAGATCTGGGTCGGCAATCAAGACTTCGCCCAAAGCTCGCAAGAACAAGCAGAGAAGAGCTCGGCAGAAGGCCACTTTGCAGAAGGCCAAGGTGGCCCTAGCGGCTCAGAAGGGCAACAGCTCGGAGGCCCCGAAGAAGGCAGCTCGTGATGAGCGCGTTCCCGCAAAAGAGTGGCAGAGGCTCATTTCCTTCAAGTACTCGGGCCCCAAGCGCTGTCCTTTCTACAACTGCTCATTGGGCTGCCGCTTCGGTGATCAGTGTCGCCAGAAGCATGTTTGTGTTGAGTGTGGCAAGGATCATCCTTGGCACGGCAACCACTGATCGCCTCCTGCGCGGCCGGTGGTAATGGATCCGCCACCAGGCCATTGGCTTCCGGATCCAGCAGAGCCCAGTGATGGTCCCCAGACGAAGAGTCGTTCGGACCGGAGAGGCGAGGCCGCCCTTGCCGTCTCTGCATTTCAGTGGAGCCCACCTCACTTTAGGCCTGAAGTTTTGCCCGAATCAGGCCCCTTTTTCCTTGAGTTGTTCGCGGGCAAGGCAGGCATCTCAGATGCTGTTCGTCTTGCTGGAGTTCAAGCCCTGCCTCCCGTGGACATTGTGTTGTCAGAGTCAGTACCTGTCTCAGTGGATGTGGTGGATCTCACAATGTGGCATCGCATCATGTTCGTGCTCAAGCTGGGTATCGTGCTCTTTTTGCACTGCGGCACTCCGTGCAACACTTTTACCTCAGCCCGAAAGCTCGATGGCGGCCTGATGGCGGCCCCCCGCCACTGCGCTCGGCAGCTGAGCCGCTTGGCCTGCCGAGCTTGTCAGCAGACAATGAGGCACTGGTCATGCTTGGTAACATTTTTCTTTTTCGCACAGCCGAAGCCTGCAAGTGTGTTTTCCAGTTCGGGGGTAATTTTTCTATTGAGAACCCCCTTTTGAGTTTGATGTGGGTCACACCCACAGTACGGCAATTGATCCACGAGACTCGTGCGCTCGGGCTGGATTTTGACCAGTGTGCATTTGGTGCTCCTTCCCTCAAGCCAACGCGCCTTCTGTGCTCGACCGATCTGCTCGACGATGTGTGCATGCATTGCCCTGGCGGTCACCAGCATGTCAAGCTCAAAGGCAAAGTTTGGGATCCTGTGCAGCAGCGGATGGTTTTTCGCACTAAACAGGCTCAAGTCTATCCTTGGGCGTTGTGCGCTACTGTGGCGACGGCGGTCTCGGAGTTGCTCACCAACCCGCTGGCGCACTTTCTCGCTTCATTTCAACTGCAGACTCCGGCTGGTGATCGCAAGCGTGCCCTGGGGTCAAGCAGGCAATGGCCCGGGCACCGCCAAGCTGAGTCGGCAGCCAAGGCACAGCTCGCTGGCTATCAGCTCAAGCGTGGGGCCGCTAAGCCGCTCTTGGAGTTTGAGATGGAGCCGGGGGAAGCCATTCGTGTCGCTCTCCAAGTGGTTCACCCCTTCACTGCGGAGGTCATGCTGCCTGAAGCCTCTGCTCAGGCTCTTGCTCAACTACAACGTCCTGCTGCGGTTATCCTTGCAGAGCGCCAGCGGCTCCTGGCGTTCTGGAAGCAGCGCGCCTTGGAGCTCCTGCCTCGCTCTATTGCTCGGATCCGCCAACAGCCAGATCCAGCTCTGCGGCGTTTGCTTTTAGGTTGTCATGATCACGAAGCGCCTCAGCTTGGTCAAGTTTGCCATGTGGAGCTCTATGCGGAGATGCTGGCAGCATGCAACCCTGTGGATCATGACCTTCCGCAGCATTTATTGCACGGTTTTCCGATCGTGGGGCCCATCGCCGCCACCGGTCGATGGCCACCATATCCGAAGCCTCAAAAAGATCTACCAGTTCAAGCAGCTCTAGACCGGGCCTGGGCTCTCCGGCGGAAGATTGTCTCTCGTGTGAAAGGTGTGCCAGTCTCTGAAAATTTGAAGAAGATCTGGCAAGCCTCGATCGAGGACGTAGAAGAAGGCTCTTGCTTGGGCCCTTTTTCGTCGGAGGCCCAAGTCTCTGAATGTCTGGGTTGCGAAGATTGGATCCCAACACAGCGCTTTGAGGTCGTTCAAAAGAACAAGGTGCGTGGTTGCGACAGTGCTACGACAAACATGATCAACCAAGTGACCAAGATCACTGAGAAGCTCCAACTGCCGTCTACTGACATGAATGTGGCAGTACTTAGGCTCCTGAGGAAAGTTGCGCCAGACGAGGCGATCCTAGGTTGGGTCTTGGACGAGAGGAAAGCCTATCGTCAAGTCGCTGTACGACCTGATCATAGGAAGTTCTCTGTCATCTGCCTGAAGGATCCTACGTCTGGGCTCCCAAGTTTCTTTGTCATGGTAGGGCACTCATTTGGGTTGGTGTCTGCGGTGTACAATTACAATCGCCGGTCGGCGGCCATCAACGAGTTTCTGGTCTCTATTTTTGGTCTGGTTGCTTTTAGCTTCTACGACGACAAGTACGGATTTGAGCCAGCTACAACAGCTGGCTGTGCTCGTGAAGTGGCAGAGAAAGTGCATGAATGGCTCGGAGCGAGGTTTGATCAGAAGAAACTGCAGCTCTCGAGCGCCCCGACTATTCTGGGAGTGACCTACAACCTGGAAGCCATGCAGCTTGAGATCAAGAAGGAACGTCGGGAAGAGATCTCTTCCGAGATTGACGCTATCCTTCTGTCAGGGCTTCTGGATCCCGGCTCTGCGGGGAAGCTGAAAGGAAAGCTCATGTTTGGTGCATCTCAGTTGTGGGGGAAAGTCGGCAGGGCTTTCTTGCGCGTGATCTCTGAACGACAGTACCTGCGCTTTCCCATCAAGAATGAGTTCAAGCTGGATGCGCCTTTGACAGAAGCTCTGAAGCAGTGGAAGAAGCTCGTCAATGAAGGGCCGCCAAGACCAATCGAGATGGCATGCTCAAAACCAGCGGATCTGGTCATTTTCACGGATGGCTTCACTCCTGATCCTCGCTCTTCAGAAACTTTACCCGATCGTGTCGGGGCAGTCATGTTTGATAGGAGATTGAGGCAGCCTGTTCAGTTTTCTGCTACGGTCCCAGTTGAGATCAAGAAGCGTTGGCTCCAGCGCACCACCCAGATTGTCCCAGTGGAGATGATCGCGACTGTGCTTGCCCTGGAGACTTTTGCGGAGCGCGTTCGCGGAGCCGATGTCATCTTGCTCATAGATTCTGAGGCGGTCGAAGGCTCCTTAGTGAAAGGCTATTCTAGTAGGGATGATCTTTGCAGAATTATTTCGTTGTTTTGGGAATTAGCTTTTCAATTAAGAGTTCGCATCTTCATCGACCGTGTGTCGACAGATGCCAATCCGGCTGATTGGCCATCAAGAGATAAGCTCTTTTTAGGGGAAGCAGTTGGATGGCGTACTGTCCAAGCATCTTGGCCATCCTCACTGTTCGAGTGAAAGCGAGAGGGCCTGGGTCAGTGTATGTGCTCAGCTTTTTGATCTCTTACCTATGGCTGATGCATAGTCTGGATCGACTAGCGTGTGAGCCTTGTTGGTTTGATGATCTCTTGCTGTTTTGATTTGTTGACAGTTTGATCAGTCAAGCTGATCAGTTGAGCACAGACAAACGCCTGGGTCACGTGCTTAGCATTCTTTGCTGTGCAGTTTTGGATCTGACATGTCTGCTCCCCCCATGCCTAGAGCAGATGTTCATCGACAAAAAGGAGGAGGCGCGTGCGGAACGTTTGCTCTGGCATGTATTTCATTGCGATCGATAAATGATAGTGCTTGTTCAAGCACGGCAAATCTCCCGAGAGTTGTTAACATGCCAACGGTCAGGTAGGTCTGGGGCAGGTTGATAACTCTTAAGAGATGTTCATTTATTGATCTTTCCTTTTTATCTTTTATCATTTTCACTCATGTATTCATGGATTGTGTGATCACTGAGGATCAGTTGAACGTTCGACTTTTTGTACGCCATTTTGGCGCGAAGTGAAAGGAAGCTCAGAGATCACACCCCAGGCTGAAAATTTCCCAACCCGCCCACCCAGTTAATCTGGGTGGGTTGGCGGCGCAACCCACTCCTTTGAAGATCTTGGGATGGGTCAGTGTATGTGCTCAGCTTTTTGATCTCTTACCTATGGCTGATGCATAGTCTGGATCGACTAGCGTGTGAGCCTTGTTGGTTTGATGATCTCTTGCTGTTTTGATTTGTTGACAGTTTGATCAGTCAAGCTGATCAGTTGAGCACAGACAAACGCCTGGGTCACGTGCTTAGCATTCTTTGCTGTGCAGTTTTGGATCTGACATGTCTGCTCCCCCCATGCCTAGAGCAGATGTTCATCGACAAAAAGGAGGAGGCGCGTGCGGAACGTTTGCTCTGGCATGTATTTCATTGCGATCGATAAATGATAGTGCTTGTTCAAGCACGGCAAATCTCCCGAGAGTTAATGCTATAATTATATATATATATGTAATATGTATACAGATCTGGGAAAGCATTACTTTTTCATAGGTAAATCAGCCATGGACCATGGCTTCCATGGCTTTGGAAACCAGGGAAGGAGACCAAGAGCTCATCGCGAAGATTTCGGCGGCCTCCGAGCAGGACGAGGACGATGACCAGGCGCGGGCTACAGCGGGCTACAGCGGTGGCGGCGCTGACGCCCAGATGGAGAAAGATATGGAATATCCAACAAAAAGAAACACTTGTGGCGGGGTTTGAATGTGCATGATGCATAGAGATTATACTAAGTGGTCTTATGAACATTGGAGATATCCGGGTTTAACCCGAAAAGCATCTGAAAAAGCACCGCTAAGCCCTGGTTCAAGTTCAGAAAATGACAGTTGAGAACCATGAAACATGTTTTTTTTTGAGGTCTAGAATCGTACATCTAAATTGCACATCATCTTGGCGCATGGCAGTGCTCCAAATTTCCTGCCAGATTGATGGGAAAGAGAAGTTGATTTCGGAGATTGAGACCATGCTGAGCAGCCGCCTGGCTGAGTTCAAGCATCATCCCTAGAAGGCGATTAGCCTCTGGTAAACATACAGAAAGCGAACTGGGAAATCACCATTTTCAATGGGTAAATCTACGAACTTTCTATGGGTCATTTTCAATAGCTATGTAACAAATTACCAGAGGGTAGTCGTTTGCGGATTGGTGATTTTTAGTTTCGACATTTCACCACTCCGTCGACAAAAACGATAGGTCAAGAAGCCTCAAACAAGTAGACACAGGGTAAGGAGAGATCCCGACATCAATAGCCTGATTCCTTCGATGTGTGGAATCCACCATTGGGCTTGCACTTCAGTATCATAACGCATGGAATTTGGACACTTCCTCCATTTCCTCCATGAATAGCGGATGGCTCTGAAGCTATGATGAAGGCATCATTTTTTTGAAGGGATGAAGATCCATGAGCAAGAACTATTTTGATATGAACAGGGTACTGCTTGGGTTTTGTCCGTTTGACCCATAGCCATTTCAGAAACCTCTCAGCTTAAACTGGTGCCTTCTCCAATGTCAACCCCGGATTGATAATTCTCTGTTTACTAATAGGATGGGTCCTCTTTTTAAGAGCAACTTGGAATATTCTCACTTTGAACCAGCAACCATAGTCAACGAACAACAGCTCATTCATCTGGAGTTGACACTATGTTTGGGGGTTCAAATCCCATGAGAATCCTCATCAGAATGATGGCTAAATCTCGATGTGTTGCCTGGTGAACCCCCCTCAAAACCGCCAAATCTGGGGAAGATGCCCCCTATGCCTGGTGAGGAAATGACCTTGCCATTCTGCTCAAGGAGGCTTGGGATGAGACACTGGGAATGATGTCATCCAAATCCTCTTCCAACTCTGGTTTTACAGTGGATCTATTCACTTTGGGAACCTTACTGGGGGATACTGGGGGTATTTAATGTTACTTTGGCTTCACAACATATATGCACCAATTTCACGAGGGTTAAACCATGTTCAACCCGATTTTGATGCTTAACCCCCAGTAAGGTTCCTATTTTAGGGTGATATTAGTCGATGTCGTCTATGCCAGACCTTCACCTGACATGTTCTGAGTTGGTGACGAATTTTCGCATGCAGTGGCTTCCCAGGAAAAACAGCACGGGGGGATGGATCCAAATCCATTCTTTTCATTTCTTTTCCATCTTGGGTGTGTCTGAAAAAAGTTAGGGGACACCCCAAAACAGATTGCTGTTGCTATTTTCAGTTAACTATCCCCCATCTTCAGACCCGTGGTCATCAAGAAGGGTTCTTCTTGGGTCATTTCGACCAAACATGGGTGAACGCGTCATTGAACCTGTTTTTTCATGCCCGTGATGTTGGTCACCAGCCATAAATGGAGATATTAGAGGTTCTAATGGAACAATTGGGTCAATTGGGATTTAATCAAGAATCAAGGGGAACTTAATGAACTATCAATGGATAGTTTATCATGTTAATCACATTTCAACACTACCAAAAAAAAACACCCGTGGGTTGTGATCCTCCAAGCCTTGCCATCCAATGTCGGTAACAATCAGTAAGGTTTGTTGGTACCCTCTGGTAATTTAACATAACTATTGAACATCACCGTGCTATTAATGGGTAAATCAACTATTTCTATGGCCATTTTCAATAGTTTTTTGTATGTTTACCAGAGGGTCAATCATTCCTAATCTTGATGATTGACCAACAGAATGAGGAGTTCTTCAGGATTAGGATAGATTCTAATTTACTCCTAATAAAAGTAGATGATTGATCTTCAGGTAATCTATCCTGCCAATGAGACAATGTCAGACATCGAATCTGACCATTTTGAACTGGAAAATCATCTGCATTGCTCGAAAATCTCTAGTCAGATGATTTCCCTCTTTTCCAGGAAAACATGCTTGGATTTTCCTGCCAGTGGTTGAAAATGCCCAGGTTTCGGTCAATTGCCCAGATTCGCCAATTGCATACCTTGGAAATTCGCCCCATCCGAAAACCTCTGGAGCCTCTGGAGGTCCTTGGCGTTTTGGAAACCTTCAAATGGCAAGATATGGCCGGGTCTCTCAGCGAAGGCTTTCTTTCGAAAAACGGACCATGGAGGTCCGCTGGATGTTCCCATTCCACTAAACATCACCACTATGAACCATTAATCTTAAGCATGAACCATTATTAACACCGTTATAATCCCATTAATGTTGGTGAATGGTTGATATAACATAATTATAATCATTTATAATCCTACTCACCATTATAATCACGAGAAAACATAGCATATATAAAAACCATTGAGCGACATGATTTCACCATTGACATCCATTAACATCCATTAACATCCATTAACATCCATTAACATCCATTAACATCCATTAATAATTATTATATATTAACCATATATTAACCATTATTAACCATTATTAACCATTATTAACCATTCATTCCATCTCAGGTATCCCCAAAGAGGTCCATCTTCGCACAAAAAAGGCGACGGAATTCCGGAAGTGGATCTTTCAGAGCGACAACAGCGAGAACGTCGGGAGGGCCCAGCGACTTTTGGAAAATTGGTAGATGAAAATCGTCGTGGTTACTATCGTTAGGTATGTACCATATCTAATTATATATATATATATTAATATATGATGATAGATATATGGATATATAATATGTATGTATCTATATATTTTTTTATTGTATCTAAATACAGAAAATTGTATGAGACATATAAATATAGCCTATACATGTTTGCGACATATCCAGTTGTATCTTTATACATTATTGTTTGGTCACTGCAGCAACTGTTACGCAGATCCAAGTAATCCACTGAAATTTCAGACACCGATGACCTCTGGAACTGGCATTTCTTTCATGTGGGTTTTGGTCAAGCTCAACGTACCAATAAAAAGGATGGGCGGCACTAAGAGACGACCAGAATCTTTGGGTTTCAATGGCAGTTTTGACCCATCATGTTGTAGCTCAGAGCCGTGATTCATTTCACACTTCTGGAAGCTGCAACAGAAAAACTTGGGGATGGAAAGCAACATCATTGAATATATGAATCTCGCCAAGTATGAAGTACCAATGATAAGGAGTAACCAAATGACTTGCTTGGGTCCAAGTTGGATCATTTCATTTTCTCAGAAATTACACTTGTATCAGCGAGAATTGGGCTTGTTTTGAATGAGCAGTTTTTACTAGCCAATGGGCTTTTCTCCCACTTGCCATGTATGAGATTGAGAAGACTGCAAAAACAGTTGATTTGCCAAACATGTACAGGAAAATGAAAACCATACTTAAATACATATTTTCTAATCACCAAATCAGCTGGCTGGGGCCATGTTTCTCGGTCGCCCGCTGAACCCAGGTAGTCCGACGCGTGATCGACGAATCTGTTGGGACGCCAAGCTGACGCTGGCTGGGGCGTAGGGATAAACCCAACAGATATGACCCCAATCTGTTGTGCAACTGGGCTTAAGTTATCTGGAAATCATCAAAACTTAACATACATAGACATACTCTATGATACTCTATGTATGTATGTATATATATATATATCATATATGATATACATAAATAGATAAATAATCATTTACAGAATGATTTAGATCCAAGTCTCAGGCATCGAAACTTTGGCCCGGCCCAGGTGGAACTGCACAGGGACGCCATTGGAGTGTTGACCTTGTCCAAATTCCTGGCGGATGAGACGTTGAGTTCCCACAGCTTGCTGGCTGCCAGGCGAGGTCCCATGGGCTGTCCCATGGGAGAACTGGAGCGATGGAAAAAAGGGATCCCCAATCGTCACCATGGTTTTTTGAACCTTTACTAAGTCATGGTCATCCATGACTTGGATGTTAAACGGGTACCACCTGACTTGGGTGACCTCCATATTTTCCTATTTTGCAGTGGGAGCTACGAATTGAGAGAAACGGCCGTATATTTGATGAGAAAAATCCTGGTTTCCAGTTGAACTTTGAAGCAATTCATTGATATGGCTTGAGTGTTGAGTGACTTGATTTGGAGTGTTACTATCTGGTTATGACTAACATAGCCATGGAAAATCACCATTTTTAAGAGCGGTGAACCATCTATTTCTATGGGCCATCATTTCCCATGGCTATGTTAGTCATAACCAGAGGGTAAATGGCATTATATCCCCTATAAATCCCCATAAATCACCATTAAATGGCATGATTTCCGTGAGCTTTACGTTTTGGTCTCAACTTGCTAGGAACCCCGGTGGGGAAGCACCATTTTCTGCGATTTTTTTTGGCGTAAAATATCATCCCATGGTCGGATTTTCCATGTTCTACTGGAAAACCATGCCAGTTACCCTCTGGTAAATTAACATAGACCCTGGTAGATAGGGGTTGGAAGATTAGATTCCATTAAACATGGGTGATTTTCAAGGTCTATGTTAATTTACCAGAGGGTACATAACAACAACTCAGCAGAAAGCGTTTGATTCTTCCTACTGGTAATATCCAGCCAGTAGAAACGCCATGTTCATCAACGTTCTACTAGGAAAACACTGGCATGTTGGCTATTTTTCGGCATTTTACAGGATGAATTGTCAGACTTTCCGGGAAAATCATAGATGGCAATGGATTTTTCATAGGGATGATATACCTCGATTCCTGGATTCCTAGGATGGCATTCATGTGAAGTTTCTATATCCAAATGATATCCAACTACATCCCCACATGAACAAGCTCATTTTTATGTCATTCCTTTTAAATCCCCATGACTGAATGTAACTTGACAATGGCATATTGCAGGTTAAATCCCATTATATCCGGTCGAATCCCAAACAAATGTGGGTTAAATATCATTTAATCATTAAATCTTACTATATATGTATATATATATATATATGTACATATTATATATATATATATGTACATATTATATATATATATATATGTGCATATATTATATATACACATATCCATTAAATCACATTAGACCTGAACCTTACTATGTTCCCATAAATCCCATAAATTGTTAGTGCATTCCCATTTCCAAGGGTGCGCGCCTTCCAGGAATTTGGCCGACTTTCATGAGGCCATCGATCGGCAGGGGGGCCTGACCTTTGAGGTGGTGGCCAAGCAGTGGAATGATGTAAGGGGACTTATCCCCAAATGGTTAATGACAATTATAAAATAAGGGGATTGTGGCCAGTAAAATAGTGATAATCCCCATTAAATAGCTTAGGAAGGGGAATTGTTAACTATGAGAACAGCTAGTTAGTATGAATTACTCAGCTAATTAATATGAGTAACCAAACAAACAAACTAACAATATACCAACCATACTAACCACATATATATATATATATATACATATATTCAGCTATTTAATAATTTTCGGGTCAGTGAATTGTTGTAATTCAGCCAGATTAATTACTATCAAGAATTCTAGATAGTATATATATATATATATCTACCAGATACCCTATGGTTATAATAGTCATACACCAATTTCGCTATGGAAATCCCATTTTGACACGTACATACACTGCTAGCGGCTAGGAAAACCCAATGCCAAGATTCTGATCATCCCTGAACTGGGAATCAACAGCTCACCAAGCCGGATTTTTAACGGATGGATGGAGGCTGTTGAACTTCGCTCATTTATCTACCTATATCATCCTATATATATATTGCAGTTTGTTTAAATCTTTCTCTCTCTCTCTCTATGAATCCGTGTATATATATGTACTGTCACTATGTATAGTATTTATACTATATACTATATACTATATACTATATACTATATACTATACTATATACTATATACTATACACTATATACTATACACTATATACTATACACTATATACTATACACTATATACTATACACTATATACTATACACTATATACTATACACTATATACTATATACTATATACTATACTATATACTATACTATATACTATACTATATACTATATACTATACTATATACTATACTATATACTATACTATATACTATACTATATACTATACTATTTTCTACATACACAAAGAAGCATGTATCTTCAAACTCAAAAAACTGGTCACGAGCCAAATCGATCATGTCGTCCTGGCTCTGAGGGAGATGAAATTGATGTTGGAGAAGTGCGGCTTGGATGATTCCATCACCCTGAGGCGCGTTTGGTGCGGGGCAGCACGAGAAACCAACATGTGTTTGGGGTGCCAGTCATGCCACCTTTGATTCTTCTGGTTGAGTGGATGAATACATCCATTCTAATTTTCAACCAGCTGTGATATGGAATGCAGGGGTAGATTTTGACCACCATTTAGAAAAACCGGGTGGTGTTGTGAATGGAGATCATTCTTCAGATTGGTTTTGAAAGGTTGTCGTACTCCCAGGTCACTTAGGACATTCGAACACGTTTCGCGAGTTGAGTCGTGCTGATTGTGGTTCCCGAGAGCGTCTGAGCGCAGGGTTCTTCCAATAGTGGGGGTCTGTAAAACATCTTCTCATCTTCTCATCTTCACATCTCATCTTCACATCCTCTCATCTTCACATCTGCTCATCTTCACATCCTCTCATCTTCACACCTTCTTTCACATCTTCTCATCTTCACATCTGCTCATCTTCTCATCTTCTCATCTTCACATCTGTTCATCTTCACATCTGCTCATCTTCACATCTGCTCATCTTCACATCTGCTCATCTTCACACCTTCTTTCACATCTTCTCATCTTCACATCTGCTCATCTTCACACATCTTCTCTTCTCTCACATCTGCTCATCTTCACATCTGCTCATCTTCACATCTGCTCATCTTCACATCTGCTCATCTTCACACCTTCTCTCACATCTTCTCATCTTCACACCTTCTCTCACATCTTCTCATCTTCACATCTGCTCATCTTCACATCTTCTCTCACATCTCTCTCACATCTTCTCTCACATCTGCTCATCTTCACATCTTCTCTCACATCTTCTCTTACATATTCTCTCACATCTTCTCTCACATCTTCTCTCACATCTGCTCTCACATCTTCTCTCACATCTGCTCATCTTCACATCTTCTCTCACATCTTCTCTTACATATTCTCTCACATCTTCTCTCACATCTTCTCTCACATCTGCTCATCTTCACATCTTCTCTCACATCTGCTCATCTTCACATCTGCTCCTCTTCACATCTTCTCTCACATCTGCTCATCTTCACATCTGCTCATCTTCACACCCTCTCTCACATCTGCTCATCTTCACATCTGCTCATCTTCACATCTGCTCATCTTCACATCTTCTCTCACATCTCTCTCCTTTTTCTCTCTCTCGCCTTCTTTTTATCTTTCTCTCTTAAGGCCGAGGGTGGTGCCGGCGGCGAGTCACGAAACGCCAACCCTTTCGCACGAAATGAGGGTCGATCGGCAAAAACTAAGGTAAAATTGCGATTTGACTTGTCCCGGAGCAACCCTTTCGCACGAAATGAGGGTCGATAGGCAAAAACTGCGGTAAAATTGCGATTTGACTTGTCCCGGAGCAACCCTTTCGCACGAAATGAGGGTCGATCGGCAAAAACTGAGGTAAAATTGCGATTTGACTTGCCCCGGAGCAACCCTTTCGCACGAAATGAGGGTCGATGGGCAAAAACTGAGGTAAAATTGCGATTTGACTTGCCCCGGAGCAACCCTTTCGCACGAAATGAGGGTCGATCGGCAAAAACTGAGGTAAAATTGCGATTTGACTTGTCCCGGAGCAACCTTTTCGCACGAAATGAGGGTCGATCGGCAAAAACTGAGGTAAAATTGCGATTTTACCTGTGCCGGAGCAACCCTTTCGCACGAAATGAGGGTCGATCGGCAAAAACTGAGGTAAAAGTGCAATTTTACTTGTGCCGTTCTTGTCTGTGTGTAAAAGCGCCTGTGTGTAAAAAGCGTCTGTGTGTAAAAGTCTCTGTGTGTAAAAGAGTCTGTGTGTCAAAGCGTCTGTGTGTCAAAGTGTCTGTGTGTAAAAGCGTCTGTGTGTAAAAGTGTTTGTGTGTAAAAGTCTCTGTGTGTAAAAGAGTCTGTGTGTCAAAGCGTCTGTGTGTCAAAGTGTCTGTGTGTAAAAGCGTCTGTGTGTAAAAGTGTTTGTGTGTAAAAGTGTTTGTGTTCAAGTGTTTCTGTGTAAAAGCCTCTGTGTGTAAATGTGTTTGTGTGAAAGCGTTTGCGTGTAAAAAGCGTCTGTGTGTAGAGGTTGTCTGTGTGTAAAAGCGTCTGTGTGTCAAAGCGTTTGCGTGTAAAAGCGTCTGTGTGTAAAAGTGTTTGTATGTAAAAGCTTCTGTGTGTAAAAGTGTTTGTGTCAAAGTGTTTGTGTCAAAGTGTTTGTGTAAAAGCCTCTGTGTGTACATGTGTTTGTGTGTGACAGCGTCTGTGTGTAAAAAGGGTCTGTGTGTAAAAAGCGTCTGTGTGTAAAAGCGTCTGTGTGTCAAAGGGTTTGTGTGTAAAAGCGTCTGTGCGTAAAAGTGTTTGTATGTAAAAGCTTCTGTGTGTAAAAGTGTTTGTGTTACAGTGTTTGTGTCAAAGTGTTTGTGTAAAAGCCTCTGTGTGTACATGTGTTTGTGTGTGACAGCGTCTGTGTGTAAAAAGCGTCTGTGTGTAAAAAGCGTCTGTGTGTAAAAGCGTCTGTGTGTCAAAGGGTTTGTGTGTAAAAGCGTCTGTGCGTAAAAGTGTTTGTATGTAAAAGCTTCTGTGTGTAAAAGTGTTTGTGTTACAGTGTTTGTGTAAAAGCCTCTGTGTGTAAAAACTTTTTGTTTAAAAGCGTCTGTGTGTAAAAAGCGTCTGTTTGTAAAAGTGTTTGCGATGCAAACTACTGTCTTGCACTTCTCACTGTCCTGTCTTGATACTCCTCTTCTCGACTGCCTATAACAGAGCTTTCATATATCGTTTCTAATATTGCGTCTCCATACTAACAAGAGAAGACCCTGCTCCCCCCTGAACTGGCCGAGCAAACATGACTGTAAGCATTTCCAGAGCTTCTTTTGGTGGCCGTGGTGCTCGTCTTTGGAGATTTTGGAGGCCTGCTGCATGTTGCCGTGTGGCAGTCATTCGATGTTTTGCAGCTAGCTTTTGGTAAAACCGCATGATTTTGCGAGTTTCAACTGCAAGCTTGTGTTCCGTTTGTTTGGTGAAAGCATGAAGCTGGTCGGCGCAGCTATTGGTTCGAGATTTGTATCGCGCTTGGCGTCTATAAGTTGTCACTCTGGGTTCGCTGCAACCGGATATGTCCGAGAAGGTCCGAGAGTTGCAACAAGGCTTGACAGAGGGAGGAGTTGATCCCTTCCGGCGCCAGGTGCGCAAACTTGGGATCAATGCATTGACGGCTTTAGCTTCTGAGCTGGGGATGTCACTGTGTGGCATTCATTCGATGTTTTGCACCGCATGATTTTGCGCCAGGTGCGCAAACTTGGGATCAATGCATTGAAGGCTTTAGTTTCTGAGCTGGGGATGTCAGTGTGTGGCAGTCATTCGATGTTTTGCAGCTAGCTTTTGGTAACACCGCATGATTTTGCGCCAGGTGCGCAAACTTGGGATCAATGCATTGAAGGCTTTAGTTTCTGAGCTGGGGATGTCAGTGTGTGGCAGTCATTCGATGTTTTGCAGCTAGCTTTTCATAAAACTGCATGATTTTTGCGAGTTTCAACTGCAAGCTTGTGTTCCGTTTGTTTGTCAAAGCATGAAGTAGGTGGTCTGTAAAACATCTTCTCATTTCACATCTCATTCTTCACATCCTCTCATCTTCACATCTGCTCATCTTCACATCCTCTCATCTTCACATCCTCTTTCACACTTCTCACTTCACATCTGCTCATCTTCTCATCTTCTCGTCTTCACATCTTCTCATCTTCACATCTGTTCATCTTCACATCTGCTCATCTTCACATCTGCTCATCTTCACATCTGCTCATCTCATCTTCACACCTTCTTTCTTCTCATCTTCACATCTGCTCATCTTCACATCTTCTCTCACATCTGCTCATCTTCACATCTGCTCATCTTCACATCTTCTCTCACATCTGCTCATCTTCACATCTGCTCATCTTCACATCTGCTCATCTTCACACCTTCTCTCACATCTTCTCATCTTCACATCTGCTCATCTTCACATCTTCTCTCACATCTCTCTCACATCTTCTCTCACATCTGCTCATCTTCACATCTTCTCTCACATCTTCTCTTACATATTCTCTCACATCTTCTCTCACATCTTCTCTCACATCTGCTCATCTTCACATCTTCTCTCACATCTTCTCTCACATCTGCTCATCTTCACATCTGCTCATCTTCACATCTTCTCTCACATCTGCTCATCGTCACATCTGCTCATCTTCATATCTTCTCTCACATCTGCTCATCTTCACATCTTCTCTCACATCTGCTCATCACATCTGCTCATCTTCAAATCTTCTCTCACATCTGCTCATCTTCACATCTTCTCTCACATCTTCTCTCACATCTTCTCTCACATCTTCTCTCACATCTGCTCATCTTCACATCTTCTCTCACATCTGCTCATCTTCACATCTTCTCTCACATCTTCTCTCACATCTGCTCACCTTCACATCTGCTGTTCTTCACATCTTCTCTCACATCTGCTGTTCTTCACATCTTCTCTCACATTTCTCTCCACAATCTGCTTCATCCTTCACATCTTTCTCTCACATTCTGCTTCTCTTCAGTTCTGACTCATCTTCACACCTTTCTCTCAACATATTCTCACTCACATCTTCTCTCCTTTCTATCCCCTTTTTCTCTTCTCTAGCCTCTTTATTCTTTCTCTCTAAGGCCGAGGGTGGTGCCGGCGGAGAGTTCGACGAAAACCTCAACCCTTTCGCACGAAATGAGGGTCGATCGGCAAAAACTGAGGAAAAATTGCGGATTTTACTTGCCCCCAGATGCAACCCTTCGAACGCGAATGAAGGTCGATCGGCAAAAACTGAGGAAAAATTGCGATGTTACTTGTCCCGGAGCAAACCTTTCGCACGAAATGAGGGTCGATCGGCAAAAACTGAGGTAAAATTGCGATTTTACTTGTGCCGGAGCAACCCTTTCGCACGAAATGAGGGTCGATCGTCAAAAACTGAGGTAAAATTGCGATTTTACTTGCCCCCGAGCAACCCTTTCGCACGAAATGAGGGTCGATCGTCAAAAACTGAGGAAAAATTGCGATTTTACTTGTCCTGGAGCAACCCTTTCGCACGAAATGAGGGTCGA